ATAGATTATTGTGTTATCAGAGTTAGTTAACACCTTTCATTACCAGTGTATGACCAATTTAAAAGAGCAGATTCTATTGGCTTGGGGTGACATCAACAGTAAACATCCATAAATTTGAGTAAACCTAGACATTCTATGAAATGTCAGCAAATTTGCAGCCAACTGAACTCTTTTTTTTAAATGAAAAAGGAATCTTACGTTCTAGAAGCACACATGCAGATTGTGTACTGTATAGAGATCAGAAAATAAGAGTGGAGGAAAAATATGGAAACCAGTATATTATTCATATTGTGAATTTATTTTTCTTCAATAGCCACCAAGGAGTGAGCACTAGAGAAGTCAATTTTTTTTATTTAATCATAAACTATTAAAATTAAAAAAGAAAAGCTCCCAGAGGGAGCGGGGGATTCGGGAAAAGGACTGGCGCAGGAGAAGAAAACAAGAGCCCCCAAAACCTTTTTTCCTATCTGCCAAGACAAGAGCACAGTAAAGTGACTAAAATAGTCAACAGTATGGGAATAACATGGCGTCTTAGCATCAACAGTAAGATCAAGGTGTCTCAATTTCAATTCCTATATAATCAGCAAATGTAAATATTTGTGTAAAACAGATCAGGGGCTATTATAACAATGCCTGAGCATGAGATGGTAGTGAAAGTAAAATAATACCGAAGTCGATTCGTGTTCAGCGCATCAATATAGTAGAAAATAGGGCTATATAATCTTCCTTGCACTAGATCTACTGTATACTCTCCTCTCATACTCATCATCTCTATACTACCTGTAGTTTGACCCCCCAAAAGCAGCGCATCTGTGGTGAGGGAGTGAAAGCAAAAATTTCGGTGCTTTTTCGGTAGTTCCCACCCCCCTTATTTGAGCCTAGATCTACATCGAGATCTATACGTTTGATACGCGGCGAGCTAAGATCATATCAAACCTAACAACTGCAAAACATCAAATTATGGTAAAATTCAGGGGGGCATGCCCCCCTGAAACCCCCCAACTTATTTTTATTAGGTCAGGGGGGCAAGTCCCCCTGAATCCCCCCTACTCTAAGGGCCAATACCCGCGAATAACAATTGCAGGTTGGGAACTACCGAAAAAGCGCCAAAATTTCCCAGAAAACGGACACGTAGTAGAATCTAGCTATGGCATGGCACGGGAGGGAAAGTAAGAATACCGGGGAAAAAAACACACAACTTTAAAGTGAAAAACTCATAAAGTAGCCTGGACTTGGCCTTAGCCTAAGGTTGTCAACTTCAACAAGACTTCAGATTGAAGCTGAACTGTGAACTGAAAGTACTAACAGTAACAGTGATCTAGAATCTAGATTAGATCTAGACCAAGGCAAGGCCTACACACACTTGTCAGACTGCCCACCAGGTGCTACAACTATATTATATATATATATCAGCCAGCATTATTATCACAAAATTCCTCGGATAACCCAGTTCACAACTGTCCCGAGGAATACACATCAAAAGAAACGGCACAGGAACAGTCAACGTTATTGTCCGTGCTGGTTAGGCCTAGCGACACGGTTATGTACACCACCACCCACCATATCCCGCATCGGAATCACACTTCACTTCCAAAAAAAAGTTCTGAGTCTGCTCGGCTCACAGGTGGAAACGGCTTTCCGAAGAATAAACTGTCAAGGCAAATACTGTTTGCTGTGAGGTGAATGGGTTTCAAAAGAAACAATTTCTCCTAGTCCGAGGACTGGAAAGACGCCTGCTGGACAGACTAATCCGTCAATGATTCATTATTTACCTTTCTGTGCTGTTATCGCCGCCTCTCTGCCCGAAACTTTCTGCTTACTTCCCAAATGTTACTATTTACGTTCTCTAGTTGTATTATTTTTATACACAAGAGAGCTATACTTCCGCTTGGTGGAATGTGTGATGCGTGATTCCGTACGCAAACGTGATTACATAGCGTCACAGCTGTTATACACCCGTCTCTATGCCTGATGCCTATCTTTTGGCTGTTCAGAGACTTCGTTCATAATTTGTCCGCTTGGTACACTTTTAAAAAGAATCTGACAAATTTGTTCTTTAATATTCTTCCTTCGCTTTTGCTGCCCAATTCCCCTTCTCCATCGTATAGGCTAAGAATTTTCCGGCATGTATTTGGTTTGGGCGGGGTGACAACTTCTCTCTAGGTGATGTTCGGAGGAAGTCAGGGATTGGAGGGGGACGAAATAGATTTGTTCGGAAAATAAAACAATGCCTTAAAGAAGTGGGTAGAGAAGGGATAAGAGAAAGAGGACAAGACTGATTAATAAATATACATAGAGAGGGGAGGGGAGGATCTCGAGAGAGAGGGAGGGGGAGAGGGGAGAGAGAGGGGAGAGAGAGATCGAGAGAGAGAGGGGGGGAGAGAGAGGGGAAAGAG